CTGTTCGTATATTAGATTTCTTAGAATTTTTTGTAATACAATCTAATTCTTGCATGAATATCAGTAAATCAATAACTTTAAAATTGCTAGTATCAGTATTATTATTTTTTTCTGATTTGTTTCGGTTAATTTACATGCTGGAATCGATTGTTTCTACCTGTTTTCTAAATATATACATGTGTGTGTATGGAGTTTCAGCGAACTTTACGATTCTGCACATTTTCGTATATCAATAACACCCCATAGTTACAACGATCTTGCATGTTCTTTTATATTAGAAAAACGTTTATAAAAAATTAAAGAACAAATTTAAATATTTCAATGAATCAAAACTCTTGAGAAACACATTTCTTTATTTCGGAGACAAGATACGATTCTTAGTTGCGTGTCCCGTTTCTATTGTGAAATATGTACAAAATTGAATTTTTTGGTCTTGTTTCTTCCAAAGAGCTGCTATTTGTTGAAAGTGCAGAAAAAGGGGGAGGATAACTTGATTTTAACTTCGCGAAAGCTACACGAGGACTATCTGCACTAGCCGTCCCTGATTTAGAAGTGATAGACTAGAGGGAAGGCAGTTAGTCAACACCACCCACTTCCAACTCTTAGGCTACTCTTTTTCCAACGAATAGTGGGATTGACTATCACATTATAACGCCCCCATGGTTAAAAAGGAAAGCATGTAAGGTGATGGAGATTCGAAACCGCGGCCTGATGACTTCGAGTCGAGTGCTTTAACCACCATGCCATGCCCCAAGAAGAGGAGGGGGGAGTGAATGTGTTTGTTTACTATTTTAAGTACCCTTGAAACCCTTTAATTAGATATATAGCAACGACAAACTGATGATAGATTATAAGTATTTCAAAATCTTACAAACATGTCACAAATCTTTAGAATTTTTTTATATAGAAAAGTTATAGATATATACAAGCCAAGTATAATTTTATTAAAATAAAGATCACTTAAGATAAAATTTTACGTCACTTTATCTATTTTATTCAGGTCACAAAATAAACTTAGTGTTCTAAAAACAGAAAATAAATAACATTTCAATTAGTATTATTTGAAAGTTAGAATTATTAAATTCGTTTCGTTCGCTTACAGTTGTGTAGAAGTGTTACATTCTATTCAAAATAGAATTAAATTAGATTTTTTTTATATTTTGATTTCCTTTCAGGATGCCGCCGGTGTGTCTGTGGTAAGTGAGAATGTTTATAACGCTAAATATCGGTTTCGATACCTACGAGTTGCAGAGCCCATTTTGTAGCTTTCAGCACAGGAGTGGTCTAGCGGTTAACGTATCCGGGTTGCTAATCCGACGGTTCACTGTTCGCGTTCCGTTGTGACGAAAACAAGTTCTGCACTTTTAGGCCGTAGGTACATTATAAGAGTGGTGGTCAAATTCCACTATTTGATCAGACAAGTTTGTTTATTTGTTTTGAATTTCGCGCAAAGCTACACGAGGGATATCTGCGCTAGTCGTCCCTAATTTAGCAGTGTAAGACTAGAGAGAAGCCAGCTAGTCATCATCACCCACCGCCAACTCTTGGGCTACTCTTTTACCAACGAATAGTGGGATTGACCGTCACAGTCCCCACGGCTAAAAAGGCGAACATGTTTGGTGAGACGGGGATTCGAACCCGCGGCCCTCAGATTGCGGGTCGAACGCCCTAACCACCTGGCCATGCCAGGCCTGATCAGACAAGAGTAAAAGCCCAAGAGTTAGCGGTGGGTATTGTTTATTAGCTGGCTGCCTTCCCTCACGTTTATCAGCTCAAAATTAGGGACGGCTATGCATAAATGTAGGTTTGCGCACGAGTTCTAAATTCAACAACCTTTTCTTTCAACTAAAGAACGGTTGCATTATCTGTCACCTGCAGGTTTAAATCGTTAGTATTGAACAGATATTCATTTGTTAATACAGAACAAAGAAACGTGCAACATTTCCAACTGAAAGAAATAAAATAGTTTATTTATGCAAAGTCAGGCTAGTAGTGACACAATAGACGTCGAATCGAAGTACAAAAATCAACTCCAATATCACAACTATCAAACAACTTTGCTCAAGTACACAGAAGTGACACAGATAACCTTTGTTTGTTAAGCACGGCGCTACACAATGAGCTATAGAAACCCAGTTTTTAGCGTTATAGGCCTTCCGACTCACCAAAAGTTTGTCTGTTTTGATTTTCGAGTAAAGCTACATGAGGGCTGTCTGCGCTAGTCATCCCTAATTTAGCAGTGAAAGACTAGATAGAAGTCAGCTAGTTATCAACACCAACTCTTGGGATACTTTTTTTCCCAACGAATAGTGGGATTGATCGTCACGTTATAACGCCCCCACTGCTGAAAGGGCGAGCATGTTTGGTGGAAAGAACATTCGAACCCGCAGATTGCGAGTCGAGCGCCCTAATCACCTGGCCATGCCGGGCCGGCTCATTAAAAGAGAAAACAAAATCATCTGAGGACATTAAATTAACTCAATAACTAGGATAATAACACTACGGGATCGATTAACAACAGTAAAATTAATTGTGATATGCAGCTTTAGAATGTATTTTACTTTAACGTTTAAAACATATAAGCTGTATTTAATCTTTAAGTTCTAGTGGGACAGCCTATTTGTTTACTTGGAAGAAACCTGTATAGACTTGTTGTATGTTATTTACAGTGTTGCAACGTCCTATGGTTGGTGAGTGGCAAGTTTTAAGAACTTATAACTCTATAATTTGGGGTTCGATCCTCGCCGTGAACACAGACTAGATAGTCCAATAAAACGAACAAAGAAACATGTTATAAAAATATTCCGAAGAGTGCTGCATAGACTTGCAGGACGTTATTTATAGTGTTGCAAATACTTAAAAGAACGTTTGGAAGATCTCTAAATAGACTTGAAAGATTAATATTTACGTATATCAGTTGCTAAAATGGTACTGCGCGTTCCTAACTCTTTCTTTATTGTGCTGCAAAGGTCAAGAAAATGCCTTACCCAAACTTCTGGGTTTGGAATTGTTGGGATTATGGTGGTGTTTACATATTTACTTTGATTAACAGCTTATTAGCTCCCATTATATAACTACCTTCCTTATCCGTCCCCCTCTTCCGTGGTTCAGCGGTAAGTTTCAGGTATGTTAATGCTAAACTTCGGGATCGAACCCCTTCAGAGGATACACTGTTGATAGTCCTTTGTGCAACTTTGAGCTTGAACGAACAAACTTTAATGAATGTAGCTGACGTCTTTATTTCTTGCACTTGCAGCACTGTAAGTATGTGCAAGACTATTCCAAGGATTATTCTGGCAACTGCAAAATTGTATATATCAAACTGCAAGTCTACAAAGGACTCTTTTCAGACATTGTAGCACAAGTTATAACATTATAAATAATAAACTGCATAGGACCTTTTGTTTGTAGAATACTACGGTAGCTGCAACATTAATGAACGTGGATTTACAGGTTTGTACAAATGTTTGAACGTTGTTCCAATAACTATAGTACAATCAAGATGGTTAGGATGGTTTTATTTAACACAATGCCATCAACGTTTCGGCTTGATCAAGATGGTTTTATCTAGCGCAACTCAAATGAAATGATGAATTAGGAATGATATTTTTTTTTCAATGCTGGAACCAATTTTAATAACTTAAAAAAGGAATTGAGATTATTACATTTCATGAGAACAATGTTCCATGACCCGTGTTGCCCTTGAAATTATTTTATCTATCATAAGTCGTCCTCAGTCTGATTGCCATAATTATTGTCCAAAACAACAAGTTCCTCTGTAGCAAACTTCTGCAAAGAATGGCGCGGTCAATATTTGACTACCATTTTAATAAACTTCCCACAGACCCTCATCTCTATGTGATTGTTGGCTTCCAAGATCATGTTTAAGAGAAAAAGTCCATTGGAACTGCATGTGGGGATTTGACATGTATATAATCGAATGTGATTGCTGTCTTTCAAGTTTCTTCAGCCATCTTTCGCATGAAAATGGCCACTCACTTATTTCGACATGTGTATGGGAGTTATTAAACTTGGTGAAGGTTCACAAGCTGAAAGACCAAGTTTTTATCTACATCGTACCTCCCCCCCCCCCACAATTTAAGCGTCATAAGACCTGAAAATTACCACTGTTCCACGAGAAGAGTAGTTATCTAATGGGAGTTAATAAGGGGAGGATAAAAGTGTTATTTTCCGTGACCATAGCCTTCCTTCTGCTGAGGAGGATATTGCTATGGACTGGGCTGGGGTTTAGAGTTCGTTGCTGTTCTAAAAGCTCTATTGTACAAGTTTGTCTGCTCATCCTGATGATATTGACCCCTCCCCAATACTTGAATTGTAGCATCTTTAGGCCTTATACAGTATAGCACTTTTACTCTATGAATGGTTATCTTGGAAGAGCTTTTTATATATAGACTTCTGGTTACTGGCGAACTGATGGTCCTCTGGGCCCTGTGCGCAGTTCTTTTTGGGGCCCCATTTAACTATGTAAATACATTTTAACACGGGGTTTCGAGTATTATATTAATGATATACGTACCTATATATAGATGTTAAAAATTCTCCTCTTCATACGAAAACAATTAAAATTATAAAATCACTAAACTGGTTAGGTGCACGTAAGATATCGTTGAGCGTAAGTAATTTTTTACTCTTTTTAAGAGTGCTGAACGATCTTTCACCAGTGGCATTTGAAATGGGTAATGTCATAAAGATTTTAAGTATTTTTCTCTAAATTTGGAAATGTGGCGCTCAAACCATTAACAAAGAGCTTGTAAAGTTCAGTAGGTGATTTCGATGGTATAGATTCCTCACTGTTGGCAAAATGCAGGAAATGTCGCAACTCATCTTCAAAAACAACAAAATCAGTGTCCTCTGAGTACATTTCCAGTAATTTTTTATGTTGTCATCTTTCTTCGCCTCGTTAATATTTATTTCAAAAATCACCTGGAATAAATCTAATATTGATTTAGTAGACTCTTTTCTGTTTTCCAATTGTACAACTAGCGTATCACAGTTTCAATTATCCATTTTTGTTTCCCTTCTATCATTGTTTCCTTCTCTTGAAGTTCATCACAAAACGTCTTGCTTTTCTTTAAGCGATTCTTATTTAAATTTTCATCGAGAATTACTACACCTTTCGTTAAAGATAATGCTTCCAGTTCGATGGACGAATAATCATTTCTGACTTCAGTGATGAAAGCCTGAAGAGAAGTCAACAACTCTACAGCCATAAATAAGTAACCATCCTTAGACTGCAGTGATTTGCTAACAGCATTCATTCTTTGCAACAAACGATTCCACAAAACTGTAAGAACAGCATTTTCATACTTTTCAAATTTTTTCGATGGAGCTTTTGCTTCGACTTTTGCTACAGGCTTCTCATTCTCTGCTACAGCAATATCAAGAAGGGCATTTTTGATATCATGGTAACCCTGTTTCAAAGACAAAATGGCATCGCTTCTTGCAGACCATCTTGTATCGCTAATCTTTTTCATTGTTTTCTTTTGCTGTAGATGCGATTTCAACACGTTACATCAATGTGTAGATGCTAACAAAAATGTGTACACTTTCTGAACCAAAATTTAAAAAGTTCGTTGCATCGTGACAGGACTCTGCGGCTCTGTTACCGACAAGATTTAACGAGTGACTGGAACACGGAACGTAGAGAGCTGTGGGACTTTCTTTTTTCACTCTTGCTTGCGAGCCAGTATATTTGCCTGACATGTTAGCAGTGTTGTTGAAAGTTTGACCTTTGCAATTCTTTATATCTAATCCCAGCACTTCAATTGCATCTATGACAATTTTCGTAAGATGTTCAGATGTATGCGATTATATAGGTGTAAGAAAAAAAAAGAAACATTCAATGATCTCGCCATCTTGTCTCACGTATCTTAACACAACAGTAAATCGTGTGACGTAAATCGGGGGTCGAGTCAACAATTATAGAAAAATACTGAGCATTTTTCACTTCATCAGCAAAGCTATTTCGCAGATGATCAGCCATGACAACGAGAAAGTCGTCGTAAATGTGATGAGATAAAGAATTAGTTTCATCAGAACCACAGTTCTGATAATTTTCCAGTTGCTGTTTGGGAAAATCATCAAATTCAGTCAGGTATTCGATACAAGTTAAGAAATTGCCTTTACGATTCGAACACTCAGATTCGTCATGACCTCTGAAAGCAAGGCCTAATCTTGCAAGTAGCTTCACAGCTGCAACTATGCGTTTCAATACTTGTCGCCAATAAGATACTGTTGCGTCAGCGAGGTCACGTGACTAGTGTCACGCGACTTCTCTCGAACCTTCGTGAATTGTCGGGTGATTACTAGATATAGGGTAGTCTGGTATGTATAAATGGTCACAACGTGACGGGAACAGAATGTGTGTAGGTAATGAGTAATTGAACTGCAGTCAGAGAGAGACGTATTGTTAAAGTCGAGCTCGTGAGACGTGAATTATAGTTTGTTACAGCGCGAATGTTGAAATCAAGTGTATCGTAAAGTTATATTCAGAAAGAATAAACCAGTTTTATTAAGTAAGGACTTGTGTCGCTAAAGTTTCGTCGGAACGAATTTACGGAAAATCAATTAACAAACGGAGACGTAACAATACGTTCAATGATCTTGCCATCTTGTCTCACGTATCTTAACACAACATTAAGTTGTGACGTAAATCGGGAGTCGAGTCAACAATTGTAGAAAAATCCTGAGCATTTTTCAGCCACGTCTTTCAAATTTTAAAAATATCCATCTTTTGAATTTGTTTTGGTAAATCTCTATAGATTTTAATGTTGTGGTTTTTACTTGTTAATACAATAAAAAATGTCCAACTCTGTGTATTTTCGTTTTCAACCAGTTTTTTCCCTTGATGTTTATGATACAAAACGACATATTTTTATATGTTATGTTATATCACTTTGTAATAAATGAAGCCGAGTGTGAAAATTAGATATCTTTGTGACTGTAGAATTTGGAATTTTCAATTTCAATGGCGTACATCTTATGTACCCCACATGGACTAAACAGCAGGGTTATAGACATCTAGTGCTCAAATAAAGCCGTCTTCAGTTTTGCATTTACTAGGTTTAAGTGTTCTTTTTTTAAGATCCTTTCGGAAACCTACTTCTTTAGATGAATAACGTGCATTTCAAGATGAAAAACGAAAGTAAGAACGTAAAACCAAGTTTCTTGTTAATGCTGCCCATTTTTTTCAAATTGCACTAGAATTAAAGAAAAAATCGATTAGAATACCAAGGTAGCGTAATGGGTTACCGTCTGCATAGTATAAAAGAAAAAAAAGTAAGAGAAGAAACTAGTTTAGGTTTGAGACCATAATTGCCGTCATGTTAAGAATTCGCGAGAAAAGAGAATGAAAGAAGAAAAGAAATTGAAAGAAACGGACATGCAAAAGTCTAGATAGTTTAACATCACCATAACACAGCCTTTCACTTCTTTGTTAGATCCACCGTTTCAGTTAGCACTGTGTTATTGTACCAAATGTCCGTTTCATTAGCAGCAAGTCAGTACTTAGAAATTCACTTGGATAAAAAGACAATTAAGATGATTTGTAGCCAAACTTCACTTTTCTCTCTACTTGTCTGCCTATCTAGCTACGTTTCATTTAATACATCTGCAGTAATAGATTTTTAGTACGCCAAATTTAAATAATCATTTGTACTAGATTAAACAAAAAAAAAACTTTTGTTTGATATTTCGACCAGGTAGTAAACGCGCGCTTTGAATATGAGAGAAATTAGAATTCAGCAAATTTCCGTTCCTATTCGAACTATAATTATCTTCAGCTTCACTTGTATATTATAACGGTCTCTTAATGTATTTAATTTATAACCCAGGATGTATAAACAGTATCTAGTCATAATCCAAATATAAAATTACATTACTAAAGATATAGAAAAAGGAATAACATTTCGAACAACCTAATTATAAGAACTTTCTAAATATGTAATCATTTTAAGTTTGTTAAATCTCAACGGTGCATCAAATATTATTCTAAAAGATCAGCAAGATAGGATTAGGCGTGGCTTATTGTGAGACAGTCTGCGAACAGAGGGAGCTGGGGTCCAAGACGTGATGACGCTGTAATGCGTCACAAAGGCGATAGTCAATTCCTATCATTGTTTTTCGAAAAGTGAAAGGCCCGGCATGGCCAGGTGGTTAAGGCGCTCGACTCGCAATCTGAGGGTCGCGGGTTCGAATTCCTGTCACACCTAACATGCTCGCCCTTTCAGCCGTGGGGGCGTTATAATGTGACGGTCAATCCCACTATTCGTTGGTAAAAGAGTAGCCCAAGAATTGGCGGTGGGTGGTGATGACTAGCTGCCTTCCCTCTAGTCTTACACTGCTAAATTAGGGACGGCTAGCGCAGGTAGCCCTCGTGTAGCTTTGCGCGAAATTCAAAACAAACAAACAAACAATCGAAAACTGAAAATACCCCTTGTGGTGGCGCGTGTTGCTGGCTGACTGCTTTCTCTTTTGTTTAAAATTATACGCAGCTATACCTGAAACCTAGGAGTAGAGGCCTAGCTACTTTGATGTAAGATCACGTTTTAACTGTATAAATACAAACAATTTGTACTACTTATCATTATTTTTAATAAATCGACGTTTTATAAAAACGTTATACTTGTTTATTTGTTTCTTGTTATTAGTTAATTAATTAATCATAACTGACTTCAGAAAATAACGAATCATATGTATTGCAAACCGTGGTGTTTGTCCGAGCGTTCGTCTGTCTCCCGTTTGAAAAGCTGCGCACGCGGGCAAAGCTCAACATTCACTTTTGAAATGAGGCCTGGCATAGCCAGGTGGTTAGGGTGCTTGACTCGAAATCTGAGGGTTTTGAATCCCCGTCCCACCAAACATGCTCGCTCTTTTAACCGTGGGGGCGATATAATGTTACGATCAATCCCACTATTCCAAGGGTCGAGTCGTGATACTATTAAACACGTTCCGAAGTTTCAGGTTACAGAAATTTCAATCAATCACATTATTCCAATTAAAGAACTGAAAAAAAGACCTTGTAAATGTGGGTGCTACTGAATGGGTGACCTCTCTCTGGTCAGTAATTAGAAATTAGGGATGGTTGATTATGCCTGAACCTTAGAGGACTTGACTGTTTGGCTCATATGTTAGGTTTGAAATTATCTAACTTGACTATTCGGCCTACGTGTCAGGTGTGAAATTATCAATTCTTCTTTGCTCATATTGGTTACACATTAGAGGAGTTTCTAGCATCGGTCATTGCCAGACTCCCTCCTGATTATGATGTCCTGTCGTAGTTCATTTGTCAGTGCGCAGTCTAGGTAGCGTGGCCCCGTCCCTAATTTTGAACCACCGATCACAGGGAAGCAACGGTTAGAAGTAACCTAGTGCAGTTTTAAGTGATTATTTAGATATTAAATAGTTAATTTATTTTGAATTTATTTAAGCCCTCTGATGGCTAAGTGGTAACTCTGCGGGCTTATAACGCTAAACATCGGGCTTCGATACCTGTGGTAGGCAGAACATAGCTAGCCAATTGTGTAGCTTTGTGCTTTACTACAAAAACTGGTGTTCTGTTTTGCCGTCTTCCCAAATATGAATATCATGGCAGCCAACGAACGGGCTTACAGTTTACTATCTGCCCGATATCATAGTAACGAATCAAACAAACGTAAGGTGAATCTAATATTAATAACCCAATATAAAATTATAATCTAAGCAAATTTGTCCAACTTGAATACATTATTTCCAAAATAACTAGAAAATAATGTTACGTCTCTGTGTTCGTTTGTTAATTTTCCGTAAAAATTCTTT